CATTTTTATAACATTTTTTGATACATATACACGTTCTTATGCTCTGTAGAAAGTTTGAGCTCATTCCAATCAAATTTGGATTTTTTTATGAATTATTATTAATACTTTTACAGGGTATCCAATTAACCAATGGGTTTTTGCTTGTCACAGATTTCGTGACAATGGAACTAATGGGTTTTTGCTTGTCACGGATTTCGTGACAATGGAACTAATGGGTTTTTGCTTGTCACGGATTTAGTAACAATGGAACTAATGGGTTTTTGTCAAACAATTTAGTCGGACAATTGAGCATTAATGGTCAGAAAATTTTTTTATGTCCGACTGTAATTTCAGGATCTGCAACTACATCATGTACATCAATCAAAAAATCATAAAAATAATTGTAATTAATAATAATAATAATAATAATAATAATCATTATTATTAATTTAGGACTGGTATGCTGGGATACGGTGTTGTTCCTTATGACAAAATCTCAATGATTGTCATATCCACCATTGCCGTTGGTCTAGGGATACCACTTCTCCTCATCATATTCGGGTCCATTTATGTTGCCTTCAAAAAGAAAGTGTGGCAGAAATGCAGCAAAACAGGCTACACCAAGATGACCAACGAGAAGGAAGATGAAGACGAAATTAAAGCAAATGGGGGTGATAAAATTAATAAAGAATAACTAATTTTATGAATACGAATGTGATTGGAATTAATTTCCATTTTAAAGCATTGAGGTTATTATTATTTTGATTATAATAGCATTATGCTTGTATTGTATAACTAAAAATTATTATTGCTATTAATTATTATTTCTCTTTACTAATAAATAGTTTTATAAATAAAATAAAAAGACAAATAAAAACGTGCAACCAGTGTTTGTATTAACATGATTAATTATGGTATGACAATTTAATGATTATTCAGTATCTAATCTCATACCCATACACTCATTCTGAGTTGGTATGGGTATCAGTTTAAGTCTGTAGTGCTGATTCCAGTGCTCTCAGTGTTGGTCCAAATCAGTTGTGTGGATTTGAATTCATTTGATAATGTCCATTGAAAGATAAGAGCATTGAAAAAGAAAACCCTGGGAAAGAAATATTAGCAGTATACATGTATACTTGTAAATGTTGAATAATCCTTCAAAAATTACTGTATAGCACAAAATTTTCAAGGGCAGTAAATTTGCAATTTTTGAAGATTCGTAAAAATTACTTCCACAAATCAAACTATTACGGTACAAGATGGTAGATAGCATAAATTCACAAAAATTAAATCCGCAAAATAGATTTTTAGGCAAATTTGCGAAATTTATAGCCCTTGAAAATTACAGTATTTATTCTGATAGCTACAGTAGATGCTTACCATTCTAATATAGCAATACTGACTCTTAATCTATCAAAATCATAATCTATAGGAGGTAAGAGTATCATTTTTAGATATACATGTAAATATTAGCCTTCAACTTACGAAGTATAAAGAAGATGATAAGTGTTATAGTATTGATGAGGGCTAGTGTAATCCTTAACTTAAACAATAATGAAGAGATTGAGCGTCTTGATAAGAATGTGAATAAGTTGATGTATGCACCAAATGAGAATAAAAATATGATAGCACTGACTAGAAAAAAGAACAATAAAAAAAAGAGAATAAAGTACTAGTGTCATCTCCATTTAAAAGTGCCTTTATAGCTGGAATTAATTTGAAGCAGTAAATTTT